GCTCACCTATTGGATGTGAAAGGAACGACGGAAATAAGCAGTCAAGGGGTTGCAGACCTAGTGACTGGGCTCTGGCGCTCGAGCAACAGAATGTCAAAATCCATGCGCTCAAGCAGGAGCTCGAGCAACAGTCACTCTGCGTATGCGGATCCTACTCGTTTTAGGATAATTTTTCATTGAATTTTGAGGAGTTTTAGGTTTCCTATTCCGTATATGATTTTACTACCTATAAATAGGCATGTTAGTGCTAGGGTTTTTAAAGGGCATCAAATTGAATTTGGGCAAGGGTGAGAGAAAAGAGAGCTAAGGGGATTCTTCATTGTAATCAAAGTATTTATTGTATACTAGTGAATTTCTCGAGTAGGTCACCTAGAGGGCATAGGAACAACGCCGAACCTCTATAAATTCTTGTGTTCTCTATGTGTTTGCTTTACCTTGTGGGAGTGTGTTTGCTTTGTTCTTGTGTGGATTGTGTGTGTGCCTACTGGTTGTGTAGTACATCAACGACAAGGTCTCAAAGTGTTTTCGCACAATTTTTGTTTCACAAGTGTGGTCCAAAATGAATCTCAAAGTGTTTTGGAAAAAAAAGATAGTTAAAATGGGATCCCGAGCCTCTACATTTACACACATTTGTCTTCACCATCACAAAAATTCAATGGTTAAAGCTCAAGCCACATAAGCTACATTAATTTTAAATTATTATTCTTTTTTAAATTAATGGCTAACTTCGTTCCGTTAGCCCTTTTACCAATACTTTGGCTCCCGATGCATTTTTTTTCACCTTCCAAAAAATTGATTTCAATTCATTTGTGAGTCTTTTCGGAGCATCATTTGTCTCTGTGTAGAGCAACCGAAGAACCATATCGCCCATCAAAATTAGCTTGGATAAGAGAGGGAAATGGAGAAAATAGAGATAAAAAGAGGCGATTTAGAAATCCTTGAAGAATCTTTTGGACTGAGGTGGATCCACAATTCAAGTCCATCACTTCTCAATCAACAACAAATTAATCTTTCATTCATCATTCCCTGATCTTCTTATTTCTCTGTCTTTAAAATAAGGGTTAACTGGTGATTTGCCCCCTAAATTTGTACATAACTTTCGATTTAACCCCTTATCCTTTTTTTTTATATAGAAAATTAAGGATATGAACTCTTTTTTTGATAGTTTCCCCCTTACCATCTAAATCATCAAAATGTCATCAAAAAAAAAAAAAAAAAAAAAAAACCTATCCCTA